CGAAGACTTGAGAAATGAAATGCCAAAATGTATATCAAACATAAGATATGTTACATAACCACAACTTATTATTGTTTAATATATCGATTATGTAGCTATCAGTTTGTATTTCTATTATCGACTCAGATTTGCAGTATACTGTAGTTATATTCATAAAGTATTGCTTATATTTTGTGATTTGTTTTTTAGATGCAATCAATCGTTTGGAGAAAAGCTATAAAAACAATAAAATAAGTTTTTATTTAGTCCTAAAAGTCGTTTGCACTGTTAATCGTTTTTGCAATTCACTATTAATCCTAGTTTCAAAATTATAAATAACATAATTGCAGTCAAAAACAAACTAATAATCAGTCAAATCATTGTTTTTGTAAAATATATTTAAGAACTATTTGAAGCAGTAATTTATAACAATTATTGTATAATAAGGCAATAAACGACAAATGTTTTTATTGAATTATTTCTCTGATTATTCATGTGATTGTCATTGTCTGACACTATCTCTTCCTTCCTTTTAATTCATATCATTTACACTTTTCAAAGTAGTAAACAAATTATGCATTAAACATATTTGAAGAACATTTTACTAGTAATCATAAAAAATATAAACAAAGTTTTAATTTGCTTGAAATTAATTAAATAAAAACATAGAAAATAATCGATAAAATAGTGAAACACTAATGAGTGAAAGAACTGAAAAATAATCAAATGATGATAATTAAAAACTTTTGAATTATTTGATTAGGAATCAAATGTCCCGTCTGTTCAAAATTTGTATTACCCGATGATGTGGAGTGTCATCTGGTTATGTGTCTTACAAGGTGAGACAGCTAGTTTTATGTTCAATTATTATTAAGTATTAATTTTTGATTAATTTTTAACAAACTTATTTAAATATAGACCACGGATCAACTATAATGGTATGTAATCATTACTAGACATTGCATTATCTTGATATTAATGAATGGTTTGCTTGTCATGTGTTCAGAGGATATGTTGACTGAAGACAAGGGAGAGTGTGTGATATGTTTAGAAGAGCTCATCAAAGGAAACACTATTGCGAGGCTTCCATGTCTTTGTATATATCACAAAAGGTTTGTCATCCATGAGACCAGACAAGTGACTGATGGCTAATGTTATATATCTGTATGTTTGTGGACAGTTGTATCGATGCCTGGTTTGAAGTGAACCGTTCGTGTCCGGAACACCCTTCAGACTGACTTGAATTGTATAGAGAAATATATGTTTATTTTTGTTTATTATAGAGAAACCGATTGTTTTATTATTCACTAAAATTCTATAATTTATAATACGATATAATATATGTTTTATTATTACAAATGTTTTTAATATTCGTTAATCAAAACGAAATGAACACTAAATCCTTTCCAACGAAAAAAGCAATTCTTATTTGCAATCTTTCAAATGATTACATAATTAGCTAATATTGGAAATAATTGCCATTTTTGGGTCATTTCTAACGATTAATTGACAAAAGGATGAGAAAAATTGTGTTTAAAATATGAAATAAATTTTATAGAATTTATAAAAAAATGTTTATATTTTTATTTATCAATCATTTGATGTATACAAAGTCGTAACGAAATACAATTGGATTCGTTGTGTT